CAACAATAACTGCTTCAATGAACCAGTAATTATTGTACAAGTATTGTATGAATTGTATTGATTATGAAGCTGAAAGCGAAAGCACGCTCAACAGAGGCAGGAAAAATATTCAGATAAATTGGCAATGGACGAATGGCGAATAATGGTCAACAAAAAAATTACAATAATAAAAGCGAAATATGTAGAAATACGAAACTAATGCAAAAAGGAGGTTTAAGAATCGACTAAAATAAGCAAGCACCGAGGCCAGAAAAAATGAAAGAAAGAAATATTTCCAAAAACTCCACTGAAACGCCATTGTAGCGTTGTCGTTATTTTGTATTAAATACTCGTCTATTTTTTGAAACTTCTGCGAAACATGTGGTAACCAAGAAAGTTTCTAGCTCACACTGATATAAATAGTACTTTTATTGGTTGATGATGGCTTTTTGTAAGAAAAACATGCACCGAGTCGAGTTAAAAATCAATTTTTGGCGAACGTCAAAGGTAAACATACACATAAATATGGACCTATGATAAAGTGGCACGTGGCAGAAACTGTGCGACGAGCGGCACTTCAAAAGAGTAGTTCACGCTTCCTTATATACAAAAACACAAACACACACACACTCTTAAATATTATATATAGTTCACTATTCTTTGTTTGAATGTTTAGGCCTGCATATTTTTCGCAGTAACTGTAAAAAGAAACGCGCAAAAAGAATTTTAAAATTTTTAGAAACAAGTGCAAGCGAAACGCAAATAACAAAAACAAAAAAATAAACAAATAAAATTGCTCCAAAACGAAACTGTAGCAGTCATTGAAAGTTTGCTTTACTTTTACTGTGTAGAATGAGCGTTTGGAATTTGTATTACTAAGTACACACACACATCTGTACAAGCCTACTTTTATGTGCATAAAATAAAACACGGTCGTTGGAAACTGTAAATTAAATTTTTAACTATTTGCAATAAATTTTTTGTTTTTTGAAACTAGACACTTTGAAAAATTTAAAACCTGCGTTAACTTTCTAGCATAGATCTTGAAATTTTTAGAAAATTGGCATAAATGCTAAATTACGTACAGCTGTACATATTTTTATGTACATAGGTATGTAAATGCATAAGTATCCGAAATTTGAAACATTTCCAATGATACTTGTGAATTTTATTTTATTTAAAGGAGTTGTTTAACACTAGAACTACGAACCGGTCAAATAGACTCAAATAGACCGGTTACATCATTTATTTATACCATTTCCACTTTATTCCAATTTAATATTTTACGATAATGTCATGATTTTTATCAAATTTCTGTATAGTATAATATTATAGGTTATTTTGTTCTTACGCTTCTAATTTTCAGAGAGAGAGAGAGACCTATTGGAAATAGGTATATGTTAAATCTCCGTAGTTCTAGTGTTAAACAATAAAAATATTTAACTTCGACTGCACCGAAGCTATAATACTATTCACAGGTTTAAGTTTTCATACAAGTACTTGATTTATATCGTTCTATTCGTAAGACAGCTATATGCTATAGTATCGGCAGTTCCGAACGAGATGTCGATCGAAATTTTGCACATGTCCTTTTCTTATGGGTATTACAAACATCGTGGAAAACTTATTATACAGGGATACTATCTAATACTTTGAACGAGAAATACCAGTACAACTCACTTTGCCTGATTCAATTATACAAGGTGTTTCCAAAGTAAACAGGACTTTTAAAAAAAAGTCAGAACAAATGGTTTTATCGGCAAAAGCATGTCGAACGAGTGTTTTACTATAGCCCGTTGCCCGGTATGGCCGCCAGTATGCCGGTGCAAGCCTTTTGAACGGCCTCCACGTCTGGATAACGCTTTCCTTTCATCGGCAAATGCATTTTTCCGAAAAGGTAGAAGTCGCACGGTGCCATATCAGGTGAATACGGGGAGTGCTTGATCGTTAAAATGTGATTTTTGGTCAAATAATCGGCCACAAGCGTCGATCGATGAGACGGCGCATTATCGTGCAACAAACGCCAACTTCCATCTTCGCGATATTCGGACCGAACACGTCGAATACGGCGCATCAAACGCTTCAAAACTCCAAGGTAGAATACCGCATTAACGTTTTGGTCGGGTGGAACAAATTCTTTGTGAACAATATCCTTGGAATCATAAAAACAAATCAGCATTGTCTTCACTTTTGACTTCTCCAGGCGCGATTTTTTGGGTTTCGGCTCATTTCTCACTTATGTCCTCACGACCACTTTGAAAACGTTGAAACCACTCTTTGTTCGAAGCTCATTTTCGCCCGATGACAAAAGCATACTGACACTTAAAACGCAATAACTTCCCTTCCAACAGATAAAATGTCATAAAATTTTTACTGGAAGTCGATAAAGGATAGCAGATTCTAACGCACTAGTCGACATATAAAGGGCACTACTAGAGTTTACTTTTTACTGTTTACTTTGGAACGCACCTTGTACGCCAAAGGTTGTATTACTTTGGAGCATGCTTCTTCTTAGAAATTTTTTTTTCATGAATTTCTTGTTTACATTTTGATGATTTTGTGGTGATTTACAACCTGTTCGTAACATTTAAAACTTCAATTATGCTCACTATGAAAATCTAAAAAAAAAAACATACAATAACATATGCACAAATATTCCATTTTCATAACTATTCATTCAATTATCAAAAAATGCACAGGGCTAATAAAAATGGTTTTCTTTATATATAATACATAATAATTTCTACACTTAAGACATATTATAGAATTATAGAAATTGAGTTTGAGGAAGACAGAGGTAAGTAATTCAGCAATCAGATAATCTAATCAAGAAGTCAGTGAGAATATATGGGCTCAGAATTAGGCTGTAAAACTTTTTGAACTATTCAACTTCAAAACTATATCAAATGTTCAATTTATATGCGCTTAACCCAGGATCGTTTTTATACTCTCGCAACATGTTGCTACAGAGGATAATAGTTTTGTTCACCTAACGGTTGTTTGTATCACCTAAAACTAATCGAGTTAGATATAGCGTTATGTACATATAAATGATCACGATGAAGAGACGAGTTGAAATCCGGGTGACTGACTGTCCGTCTGTCCAACTGTCCGTCTGTGCAAGCTGTAACATGAGTAAAAATTGAGAAATCATTATGGAACTTAATACACATGTTTCTTGGTACCGTAAGATGGTTGGTATTGCAGATGAGCGTAATCGGGCCAATGCCGCGCCATTAATCAAAAACAAATAAATTGCCATAACTATGCTCCACAATAAGATACAAGACTGTTATTTGGTATACAAGATCACATTAGGGAGGGGCATCTGCGGTTTACATTTTTTTTAAAGTGGGCATATCTCCTAAACCGCTAAAGCTATAATAACAAAATTCACTGAGAACTCTATCGACAGTGTGAAATCGGGTGACAACGACTCCCACTCCCTATATAACGGTGCTGTTAAAAACTACTAAAAGCGCGATGAATCAAGCATTTTTCATCTCTGAGATGGTATGAGATGACTTTATAGGAACCGCGTTAAAAATTTGCCAATGGGCGTGGCACCGGATTACAACCGCGCCTATTTCTTATATACCACCATTTTAAAGTAAAATTTTGCGCGAATATTACAATATTTCACCTTTTTCTCTCAAAATTTTCTAAATAGAACCAAAACTGTTCAAGCCCCTAGGTACTGAATATGTGAACCCCAGTGCCTATAGTTGACTTTTTACCGAAAATATCGGTCAATGTGTAAGATATATAATTGAAATTCATATAATAAAATACATAAATGAAACTCTCGATAATAGTATGGTTTTGTGTCAAAAATAGGTTGATTCGGATCAATATTTCCTATAACCCTCATATACCTAATATAAAAATTTTTGAACTTCCGAGTGCCTTTATACCGCATATATCGGCCAATATGTGAGTTATCTCAATGTGAGAGCGTGTTTTACTCATAACAAGGTATCTTATAATTTGAGTAAATTTAGTTTAAAAATTGCTCTAATTAATTTCACTGTGAATGTGAATAACTGAGCCAACAGTTCCTGCATACTTCTAAGTATTTAAATATATAAAAAAATCTCAAACGAGTATACCATGTGCCTTTGCGAGAGTATGAGAGTATAAAATGTTCGGTTACATCCGAACTTAGCCCTTCCTTACTTGTTTATAACAATTTGATTATAATTTTTTCACGCAATAATATTTACTAAGACGATGAGGGTGCAGTTAAAAGTAATTTCAGTTATACGAAATACCCATAAAATTACATTTTTCTAGAAAAGATATGTATATCATGATGGTTATATGCTTCACACACTGTAAAGGATAATTCATAATAATTCTTTAAAGCAATTATATTTTTTTCTTTGATTTTACTTTAGAATAAAAGATCACAAAAGTAATTTTTTGTATGCGATTTAATATGTAAATGAATACATATTGTATTTATATTTTTATAAATTATCAAGTTTAGTTCTATCTAATCATAATGGCTGATAACGAAAAGAATGTGATTACGGTATCAATAAAAAAGTAAATAAACAACCTATTAAGCTGATACCGCTGTCTTCTTTCGTAGTTTTTATAATTTTATTGATTATGCGGCGAATCAGGTGTAAGAATATGTGTGTGTGATAAACATACAAGCAAATGTACGCATACATACAAAAATACATGTGTATGAATCGAGCAGTCAAGTATTTACATAGCTTTCAAGGCCATACTAAAATAGGTTGTGTGTTAATTTACCTTTACTTAAATTACATGAAATAACAGTACTTAAAATAGTGGATAATTACGAAACTATATCCAGTGTTTTCACTAACTTTTTAGCTTACATTAACCAAACTTATGCATCATTTTTTTAATTTTCACTCTCCAAAGTTAAATATCAACTTTAAAACCAAAATGAACTCTCATTTTTTCTTATATAAGTAACTTTTTTATTGCTCTGTTAAAAGCCATTCCCACCTATTTTCGAAGTTAATCAAGTCATCTCCACTTACCTTTGGTTTGTGCATTTTCGCTCGCGTTGGCAAATACTGCCTGCAAACATATGGTGACCAGCAGTAGGAGCTTGCCGAGTGCTGTTAGGTTGTAAGGCGACAAAAACCGTCGTGACATCTTTCAACAGTAGAAATACTTAGCAGCACAGCTGTGCGAAGAAGGTCGACTGAAAAGTTGTGAAGCAGCGGGAGGCGGCGGAAGGCAGATGCGCAACGCAATTAATATGCTACAAGACGACAAGTACCCGAGTGTGTATGCAAGTAAGTTGTTCGCTCTATATATGGCAACGTTTACGTATGCATATGTATTCAGATTAGTCGAGGGGTGCGTTGACGGGGCCTTAGCGATTTGGGGCAAATGCGTAACACGCGGTTGGCGAACAGCAAATATTTCACAATAGCAGCAAGCTAAAGTGTCGAGGCATCCAAACAAAGTGTTGGGAATGCAGTCGGCGATGGTGAGACAAACACTATGAAAGACGTGCTTTTTGTTGGTATTGTTGGCAACAGTAGCGTCTGCAGTGGATTAGTTGGCAATGCAAGCAGATGTGCTGACATCACACTTCGTACGAAAGCCTATCCAGCCTGTGGAGCTTGTTTGGGCAGACGTATTTGCTGGTACCTAACCCCTTTCAACTCCTCAGTGCCTTTCTTTGTGTTATCTATTCACATATGTTTATGTTTCCCAGACGTAGACGGAAATCACAGGTCAATATAGGGGCGCGTCTGCATAGATGTGCATGCACCTACATATACAAGTATGTCGGTTTACAAAAACAACAAGTTTTTAAATTCCTTGCAATAAATATGGATTTGCAAATGCAGCGGCGCTGAGGGTGTGCCGCACAATTATTTTCGCTGCACTGTTAATACGGGGTTGGTGGGGGTGTAAAAGCTGTTATTGCTGTTTATATTCTCTTTGTTTTGCTTAGTTTTTGACATTTGCAGCTTTATGCACACATTCTTACACACATACTTCTCACTTTTTGTTTGCTGCAACAATCAATAGTTATTATTTTAAATTGTTTTTAAAAATTTCTAATTTATTTATTATTTTTTGTTTTTTTTTTGCTGTTCTTTACACATTTCACCACTACAATAAAAGCGCAACCAAGCACCGTGAATAAAACATACAAACATTCATGTTTTGTTTATTTTTGGTATTTTTTATCACTACTCCACTCAGCTTCTTCATTGCTATTCCACATAGACTCTTATTTGGTTTTACCACTTAACGCATTACGTTTTCATATCTTTTTTCATGCAGCTTTTAAGATTCCGATTCTCTCTTTAGCTTACACTTGCACATATATTTTGCCCAAGCTTCTTTTCGCTTATTCTTTTCACTAGATATTCATTTAAATCACGGAAAGATATTTCCACTTTTTTGTACTACACTACAAAAACAAATATTTTTTCCAAACTCGCACGGGACCTATCAACTTCAGCATATATTTCGTATTAAATTTTTATAATTTCACTGAGCGCACATATCATTTAAATTCTGTCGATTTTTCTACACACTACGAAAACCGATTAATTAGCAGATAGCTCAGACCAGGCATTAGAGCAAAAATAAACACGCATCAATCGAAAAACACCGTGCGCTTCCAACCGTCACACACAATAATCTCCGCTGCCTAATAGCGAACTGAAGTACAGCAAACGAGCCGATAATTGTCACAATTGGAGTTTAATACACACGATATCAACTCTGTGTCAAAACAGCTGTTAGATATACGAATAGTATATTGTAAATAAACAAATCATACTTAAGCGGGGAACTTCAACACGAGACGGCGCTAAGCACAGTGAAGAAACAATTGCTTACTGCATACTTTTAGGAATGAACGTAGTTTATGCTTACACCCTTATCCAACTTATTTCACAGCGCCATCTGTTCGTCGTGTTCGAAATGTATATTCTCGAAGAAGGAGTAAATATTTGCCAAGATATTTAGAAGATAACAATTCCAAAAGACTATTTTACGGCATAATCAAATAATAAATTTATAATTAATAATTCATTAACATTCTCTGACGTTACAAAAAGAAATTTATACTTATATTTTAGGATCTGGTTTAAAATTCTTTTTGTGCAAAGAAATTTACTTTTTTCCTTCATTGTAATAGCTCTTGACAATTTTCGAGCCCATATTGATGAACTCTTTCAGCCGATTTGCGTCATTATTGTGTATATCCCATTTTGGCAAGGTGTTGACGCTTTTAACTACTTTCGAGAAATTCACTTATAGTGCTGTCTAGATAACTGGCACATCGTTATCGATGCATCTCACGTAATTTGATCCTTGTTCCAATTTTGTATGACATTAGTGTTGACGTCAATATTAACACCCAGGTTTGATATTAACAATTCAGCTTTTCTAAGTCCATCGTTGTAAGAACTACAACTACTATGATCTTTCTTAGAGTTTAGTCCTTAGTTGGGATGCCATGGTTTTAATAACATATTACTTTAAACTCGTTTCAATTCGAGGCTACGCCTACTTTTCAAAACATTATTATGTTTTGGATTTTTATTTTTAGTATTTTTGAATAAATGCTATTAGGCGTATCAGTAGTCTGATTCAGGCCGTAAAACATATATATCGCTATATGAAGAAATTTTTATTTATCTTCAATATTATTTATCTTCAATCATTACTACATTTGCGTATTCGAAATATTTATATTAAAATCTACTTAATTAACTCGAATGAGATATGTACTTTGATAGGGGTGAATTGTAAAATATTGGGTAGATTAGGAAAAGGTCAATCATTTTCCCCGAGGCCTAGACCAATTTCATTCACACACCACATTATGTTGAAAAAAATATGTCCACTTCATTTCATAAAAATGTCACACATTTTGACCAACAGAAACGGTTTAAATGTCATATGGAAAGTCGAAAATCACTATATGAGGTATATTGGGGCTAGGCAAAAGTCTGGACTGATTGCAAGAACTAATGAGATTATTCAAGTATACTTCGAAACATGTTCCCACGCAATATTATGAATAATCACACACTGCGTTTGCATTTCTCGATGAAAATTGTATGGCGACTTTATACAATTGCTCCAATACAATTGGTAAAATTTTGTTTGCAACATTTTTGCTAGAATAGTAAACGCTATAAATTTTCCTAAGATATCTTACAGATTTACTGATATACATACATATGTAGATATAAAGTCAACAAGCAGTTTGAAAATCCCTATATTAGGTTTGCGGGTGCTAATTAATAGCTCCCAACCAGATTTTATCCATTTTAGGAACAAGGAAATATTATTATCGGAAACTCACAGATTGACCAACATTTTCAGTATAAAGTCAGCTATAGGCGCTTAGGTTCATTGTACTGGTACCTTTTTTTGTGTTCTGTTTTATGATAAAACATTGTTTCCTGATTGTATAAAACACCGTTGATATAATATATAAGAATAATAATTATTATGAGAAATCAGCCCTAGCGTATTCAATGATGAAGTACTGGTTTGCTGACGATATCAATTTTGTTCTACAAAGATATCATATTCAAGCACCTCCACAAATTTTTTGTGTGAAACAATTTCCTCTATTAATAATAACCGTAACCGTAATAACCTACGTAAACGTAATAATCTACTAATCTACTAATAGAACTTTATATATATAATTTCAAATTTTCTAAAAAAGTGATGAGGAAATGTTTAGCAACTAACTTGCATTGATAACATTCAATCAACACCGCACATACTCGTATAACCAAAATAAGTATTTCCATCAAAAAAAGTTAATAACACTTCCACCCGGTAGTGTCGTCTAAAATTTAGATTCTAAACACATAATACCATAATAAATGTCCAAACTGGAATGAGATTATTTGTGGTGTAACATTACTTTTATAATGGCTATTTCATTAAAAGTTGCTATAGTTTGATCACGGCAAGGCTTCATGCTTTCATATCGGCTAAATACCTTCAGGCGTTGGCAAAACTTTGTATGCAAAAATGTACCAAAAGGTTCAACTTCATTGTTCGACGAAATCGTGAATGGATTGCAATCAAATTTTGTTTCATATTAACTTATTTGGTTATATAAAAAACTCACTTAGTTTTATGACTATATCTTAGAAATTGAAGGGCTGGTTGCATAGGTATATATGACAACTAATTTTCAAGCCATTTTATAAATATGTAAATAGATACATACTTACATATATGGTATATGGAGTAAAGTCAGCCGAAAGTTTCAATATCCTGAATATCAGTGAAGTTTCCGCTCGATTTAATACATTTTAGGCACAAATATACATTGTAATAAAAAAAACACACTCTCTTAATTTCATTAAAATACTACCCCATTAGCTGATATACTTGTGTTAAATAATTAAATTACCAGCGGGTAGAGTTCTCAATGCTTTATTGGGATTTTAACGATTGTGACCGGTTGGCTTGACACCAAACCAGAGACGAATACAATCAGCACCAAGTTACAATCAGAGAAGAGAGTCGTACACACAAGTCCTCTGACATTTATAGGAGTTTAACGGAATTCAAAATACCGTAACTTTAAGTATGCGTAAACAAAGATAATTATAAAGACAAATGAATGATAAAAGAGAGATGACGAATATAAAGCTTAGATAAGACAGTATTGCCAGATTAGAGTTGACATTATTAGAAAATAATCTTAAACTAATGTAAATAATCCTAAACAACTTGTATGTGGTATAAAGTCAACTGACAGTTTCCAAATTTTTATATTAAGTATATAGGGGCTAAGGGAAGTATTGATCCGATTCAATTAATATCTCTTGTTTATCTTAGTGTAAGTTGAAATACCTTGAGGGCACAATTTTGCAAAGTTTTATCCGGATACATCGGTTGTTTCTGGATTTACAAGTATATACTGGAAAGTGAAAGAATCAGATGGATTTTAAAGTTTTGTTAGAAAGTACGGTGATTTATTTCTGACTTCCCCTTTTTAACACTGTAATGTTGGAATGTCGGAGAAATACATACTGACAAATGTATTCGTCATAACGAAAATCATTAAATGAAGTATGGGAGCAGAGGTAAATCGTAGACCAATTTCACACAATTCTTACATATTGTCCGATATATACGGGAACAGTGTAAGGCTAACCGGAAGCTTTAAAGTGCTATTTTATGTATATGCATGTGAAATATTTGTGGTATTGAACCGGTTTTATTTATTTTTGGCAATACTACGTATTATTAACAAAAAAAAGAGTATCCCACTCTTTATCAAGATACCCCCAAGCCGATCGGATGTTGCAAAATCCTTATATTAGTTAAATGGGGGCTAGAGCAAGTTTTCAACCGATTTTATCCATTTTATGCACAAAGATACGCTGTTATTAGGAAAGCACGCTCGCTCATTTTGATTAAGATGACTCACAAATTGCGGTACAACGTTAACTGGAAGTTCGAAAATCTCTACGAGTTTATTTGGTATATGGGGTCTAGCGGAAGTATTAATTCAACCCATTTTTGACATACAGGAATAGTATTATCAGAAAAAGTTTTTTTCCGAATTCCAATATTATATCTCAGATTGCGGCGAACTGCGGCAATGGTCCGATTAGGCCCATCTGCAATACCAACCAAGTTTCATCAAGATATCTCAATTTTTACTCAAGTATAAAGTCAGCTTGCACAGACTACCTCGATTCGTTTTAGGTGATATAGGTAAACAACCGTTAGGTAAACAAAATTATCATACGCTGTAGCAACATGTTGCAAAGGTACAAATATGGAAGAAATCAGGTCATATCTGCACTCTAACACCATGTAGCGAAAAAATAATTACGGGGATATTGTAATTCGATATCTACCCAATTGCGGTGTTAATATACCAATGTTTGCTATTTGACGATTTTCATCACAGTTTATAAATTTGACACATTGAAAGATGAGTACGTTAGGGGCTTCTTCAGCTAAGCGTTATTTATATAAGACTAATAGAGATGTCTGTGTATCCGGGAAAGCGATAAGTTGCGTAAACCTTGTAATATACTAATAAAGATATATCAACCAAACCTGATGAAAACATTTTTTTTAGCATTCCAACATACAGTAGAAATGAATAAAGTCGTATAATAGCCCACGCACAAAGGTGATGTTGAAAACTACTGAAAGTGTTCTTCATCAGAAGCATAAAAAACAAAATATTTGCATTTTCAAAAAACTCTCGTTTGCTTCAATTATAAAATAATGTTTGGTCTTCGCAGAATTTCCATTCACTAACGCCATTAATCGAAACCCTATAAAATGCCACTAAATAAGGATATAAAACTGTGATTTAGTACAGGAGATTGCAGTAGCAAGGGGCACTTGTGGGCAAAATATTAGGAAAAAATGTACGTGGCCCGGACCTCTAAAAGATTTAATGAACATATCTCCCAAATCATTCAAGCTAAAATAAGCAAATTCGCTCACGCCAAAATTCTTATTCGCTTCTTTCGACACTGTAAAAATGGATGAAATCGGATGGGAGCCCACTCCACATAACATATAACAGTACTGTTGAAAACTACTAAAAGCGCGATTAATCAATAACTAAACACGGCAAAGACATTATATTTTATCCTCGAGATGGTATGGAAAATAGGTGAGTTATCTTAACAAAATTGAGTGAGCGTGTTTTTATAATAAATAAATTATAACTCCTATATAACTGATATTCGTGATGTTTAAACATCTGACTTTACTCCCTATATATTGGTAATGCTTAGTGAAACTCAGAGAGTATCTTTTTTTGTTAATAATATGTCGTAAAGTACAAAATAGATCAAATCAGTTTAATACTACCCCTATCGCCAATTTACGTAATACGTAACGCAATTTGCAAGAGTATGAAATGTTCGGTTACACCCGAACTTGTTAACTTGTTTGAAACTATATTTATTTTTCACTTTTTAGTTTAATGTGCTTTAAAAGCATGTTTTTTGTATTTGAACCCATACTTATTATTTAGCCATATGTGGTGTTTTAACTTTCTTTAAGGATGCGTTTCAGTAAGTTTGTTATTCAACTGACAGAATGTAGCTTTTAGCTGCATAGTTTTAGGAGTACTGTTTTGCAGAGTGGATAGTTAATGCTTTTAACTACATAGTTCTATGTTCGGTGGCTGGGTAATCTCATCGGATAGTTCCTGAGATATATAACTTCACCTAAAGGTTGGAGGTACCACACCCATTGTTCCATTTTTACACCTCCTCCTTTAAAATTCTTCCCTACCATCTTGTTTGTGAAATTTAATGCTTCAGACGCATTTATTTAGTGAGTTATTGCACCCATTTTTACAGTGTATTAAAAAGTGCTAAAAATACTTCCTGTCAGCAAATTTGGTATAGGTAACTTCAGGGGTTTGAAATATATGTACATTAAACCATTTGGGGAATGGGGCTACGCCTACTTTTCAAAAAATGTCAGCCCATTGGTGTCCCTTGCCACCGTGATCCATTGTACCAAATTACAGTTCGGTATCTTAATTTAGTGCTTAGTCATGGAACTATTAGGTTTTCTTTCAAATATGATTTGTGGGCATGGCAGCGATTCGATTACACCCATCTACAATACCGGCCTCTCTTAGATACCAAGGATTATCGCTTGCAGAGTCAGACGGACTGAAAAAAGTTACAAACATGTAAACATAAACATACATACACAAAAACATATAGGTGAAGTTAATAAAAACGTTATAAAAATCCTCGTTAAAGAGGGCTAATTTCGAGCATGACCGAACATTTCATACTATTGAGCTTGCAAAAATCAAATGCCTTCTGGTGCTGGCAAACCTTCATATTAAAAAATGTTGCAAAAGATCTAAACATGCATTATTTGAAGAAATCGTGAATAAATTACAATCAAATTTTCTTCTTGACTCAGATCTTTAACTTAGACAAAATTCTTATACTCTCGCAACATGTTGCTACAGAGTATAATTGTTTTGTTCACCTAAAACTAATCGAGTTAGATATAGATTTATATATATATAAATGATCAGGATGAAGAGACGAGTTACAATCCGGGTGACTGACTGTCCGTCAGAACACGTTTCTTTTAGTACCTCTATTAACAGTGTGAAAATGGGTGAAATCGGGTGACAACCCCGCCGACTTCCCATATAACGGTACCGTTAAAAACTACTAAAAGCGAGATAAATCAAGCACTAAACACGGCAGAGGCATTAAATTTTATCTCTGGGATTGTATGAGATGACTTTATAGGAACCATGTTCAAAATTAGACAATGGGCGTGGCACCGCCTACTTTTAGGTGAAAACCCAAATCTTTGGATCTGTTTATCTGATTTCAACCAACTTAGGTACATAATATTCCTCTTATATTTCTATGTTACAGTGTGAAAATGAGCGAAATCGGATTACAACCACGCCTATTTCATATATAACACCATTTTAAATTCCCTCTGATTCTTTCCATTATGCAAATCAAGCAACAATGATTGCATCTAGGTAAAACTTTGCGTGAATAATGCGTTTAGAGAATGCCATTTTGTGACCAAAAATTGCTAGGTACTGAATATGTGGACCCCAGTGCCTATAGTTGCCTTTTTACCGAAAGTATCGGTTAATGTGTAAGATATATAATTGAAATTCATATAATAAAATAAATAAATGAAACTCTCGATAATAGTACAATATGTTTTTGTGTCAAAAATGGGTTGAATCGGATCAATAGTTCCTTTAATATAAAATTTTGCCAAAACCTGAAGTAATTTCCCGGGCTTTGATCCTTGCAAGTTGCGAGAGTATAAAATGTTCGGTTACACCCGAACTTAGCTAAAACTACATTAAATCTTCAAATGAAATATGATATCACATGACACAATCAACCGAAGCAACTAAATTTAATATAGATTTAGTTGATGCGGAAAAGGTCAACCAGAGGATTATACTTGTATATATTAGCGATATGAGGTTTAGACCAAGGCCTAGACCAATTCCATTCTAATTCAGCGATTAACCATATAGAAATTCATTAAAATATCACACACCAACTTAAACGGTTTAAAACCAGGTGGAAAGTCGGAAAATATTATATAGGATATATTGAGGGCAAAGCAATTATTGCATTAATTTTTGACATTGTCAAATCGTCAGTCACGATTCAAAATCGTGAATATCAGATATATGCGGGTTAAGGCAAGTTTTCGCCACATGGCAAAATTGTACCCATTTTAGGCACAAAGATTCACTGTTATTAGGCAAATATGCTTTATCAATTTCATTAAAATAACTCCCACATTGGCGGATATCTGTGGTATAAAGTCAACTGGAAGTTCGAAAATCTTTATATTAGGTATGTGAGGGCTAAGGGAAGTATTGGCGCGATTTAACCCATTTTTGATACAAGTGCACCCTTATTTTCAATGAATTTCAATAATATATATCAAAGATTGACCGATATTTTCATCACAAAGTCAGCCATACGCACTGTAGTCGACATATTTGGCGTCAGGGTTCTTGAAAAGTTATAGTCCGATTTTGACAATTTTTAGACTCGGGATGCCATACCTCAAAGGCACTGTTTGTGCAAAGTTTCATCTGAATTTATTGATTGGTGTACAGAAATAATCAGATGGAGATTAAAATTGTGTTAAATGGGAGGTAGGCGAGTGTGTAGTCCGAATTGCTCCCATTTTCACAATGTAATATAGGCTCGTCAGGATAATGTTATGTACTGAATTTGGTTGAAATTGGTCAAGCAGGGACCGAGATATGGGGTTTCGCCTAAATTTTATATTTCTGATGCACTTATTTATTGATTTATCGCGCTATTAGTATTTTTTAACAGAACCGTTGTATCGGGAGTGGCCAAAGTTATTATCCGAGTTTATCCGGTTTTACAGTGTCGGTAGAGGTGCTTGAGGGATTTTTCCTGTACGAATTTGGTTATATCCATCTTCGTCCATCTACGAACTCGTCCTCACTTTTTTGTCAAAGAATTCTGTATCAAGTTTCATTAGGATATCTTAATTTTTACTGAAGTTATTGCTTGCTCAGACGGACAGACAGACATTCACTCGGATTACAACTCGCGCTTGTATGGAAATTTCTTTCATTTGACGAGGTATATTCACGAAATTAGGCACGAGTTATTGTTTAAGGCAACAATGCATTTTCCAAAGAAATTGTTCAGATCTTTATATCGAATGAAGTTCTTGTAAGGAGCCTTTGAATTTGTGAAGGGTATAATAGCTATAAATTAAAGCAACCGAAGTTAACGTTCATCAAGCTGACTGGCGACTATTTGGAAGATATTTGTATTATTATCGTATATTTTAGAATGGAAACCTTGGCGTCATAGCCACGATAGTGATACACTATCGAAATAATGAAATCCTTAGCTGGCCTTAATTGGAATTGATACGAAGTTTAACTTTTCTACAAAGCTTACGTAGGCTCGCACTTCAGTGGAAAATATTCAGTTTAGTGTAAGATATCTCAATAAAACCAGTATCTTCATACTTCTAATTAAAAATTTATTGTTTTTCATTTAATCTTAAATTACTATAAACAAGTATTTCAATCAGATTTTATTGAGATATTTTACGTGCAAAAATACTTAGTTTATGCTTCAATTAAGATTGAAGACAAAATAAAGAAAAAAGATGTGGTATTTAGTCAACCAGATGAACGAGAATCGTTTATTTGTTGATTTGAAATCGCATTACTTGTCTCATATATTGACTACATAAAAGATATAGCATCAATGGTCTGGACTGATTTCTATAATTTTTACATTGCATTTGCACAAGTTAGTATCATAACTTCTGCTTATTTATATATTTCGATATATTTATTGATGTTTGAGCTATTATTTGAAAAGTTAAAACATCGTTCTATGGGGAGTGGTCGTGACTTTAGTCCGATTTCAAAAAGTAATTTTTTACACCATGTCATAAGCGCATAAAGGAAATATTATAAAACATATTAACTTTCTATTGGATAGAATGATGTAACCCATTGCCCTAGTTTTGAACTAGTTTAGAATCTTCCTTACAATTAGTAGTTTCGATCATAATCGTTATATGGAAGGAGGGATCTGCAATTTAAAACTTTCTTATTTTCTTTAAGAGTTAAAGTGAGTCCTTTTATTACAACCTTAGACTGCCAAGAAATATTCAGTTAGTCTCGTCATCACCACCATTGCGATATATAAATAATATAAACCTATACTAGGACGAAAATCCTGAACCATGTTGTAGACTTTCAAACTAGAGTTTAATTTGAGTTTGCATCATAATATCGATTTTATTGCATTATTTCATAAATATGTATATGTATTTAAAATTATTTAATAAATTCATCTAGAACAGCTTACAGGCTATAAATACTTTTAAGATTACATAGTATAGGCGTGCGACAAAAATACTTTTTGAAGCGAATTCATACAGTAACCCATAACACCGCACTGACCGGCGCCTCACGGGATGTTATCACCATTATATTAAGGAACAAAGAGCATATAGAATTATGCCCATATAGATTCACACATAAAATGTTTTACAGTATGCGGATGTGAATGCCTCCGCCACCATACAACCCTTATTTCCCACTTTAGTTGGATCTTCTTCCATTCAATTTGTCCTGAATTTGTTGCAGACTCAGCCCCTTGGTTTCCATTACAACGAAAAGTGTGAAGAAGAATGCAACAACACAGAAAATGCCAAACAACCAGAAAGCATAGTATGAGCCCAATGCATCGAGTGCAGGATACCAACGTGTTACTATAAAACCGAGGACCCAGCATGTGGAGGCGACGATCGAAGACGCGATTGACTTAACATTGGGTGGAAACATCTCGCCCAAGACAGCCCATGGCAGTGGACCGAAACCAACGCAGTAAACAATGTTGAAGATCACTAAAGCAGGCACAGGCAACCAAGTGAGATTGCTGGCATCACCCACAACTTGCTGTACATAGAAGAAAGAGCCCAATGCGGCCAAACCGACAGCCATGCCAAATGCAGAAATCAATAAAATCACTTTGCGGCCCAAACGATCAGCAATAATGGGTGTTAAACCAGAGGAGCCAACTTGAACTGCACCGATAATGATGGCGGCAATGGCTGGATCTATACCGGTGTTAGCACTAACGAATATCGACTGGCTATTGAATAGCACGACATTGATGCCGGATAGTTGTTGGAAAGAAATCAAACCGGCAGAGATGATAAGCGCCTTACGATTGCCCACATTCCTAATAAGATCGACAATGGTACCCTTATTAGCCATAGCCTCCTCGACTTCGCCCTGAATTGTGGTCATCTCATCTTGTACAACATCAAGGCTTTGACCGCGTAAGAATTGGAGTGAGTTCAGTGCGTCCGATTTTTGGCCTTTACCAGCAAAATAGTAAGGACTCTCCGGCATGAAGAAGAAGATAACGACGAAGACAATCGGTACAGCAAGACAGCACCACTGCAGTGCTATGTACGAGACATACGGACCGATAGCGTAAACATATAGAATGCCAGCTGTAAAGAGAAAAAGAAAGATGATCATATACTCCATCGAAAAAAAATCAAATAACATTCAAAACTAAAGAATACTTACCGACAATGAACAACTGCATTAGAGATCCAGTTGCACCGCGTACCGCATCTGTTGCAATCTCACCAACGTACATTGGCTGTACTGTCATGACAAAACCCACGCCGAAACCCTGTATAATACGTCCCAGATACAAAATCCAAACCTCACTGGCGACCATCATTAGAACGTAGGCCGCCACGAAGAAGAGCGAACTTGAAAGCAATACCCATTTGCGACCAATTCTATCGGCGAGTGGACCAGCAACGAAGGGAGCTAAAAAAAGCAAAAAGGTACAAGCTGCTCCCAATCTCTAAATTAATTCACAAGTACTCCACACACCTATTAAAGCACCCAATGGCGCAAGCGATGAAATCCACGCGTCCTCTTCTGTGGTGACGGGACGATCGAGTGGTGAGTCAATCGGATCAAGGGCCCTCAGTTTCGGTGCCACTGGTGACGTCCAACCGAGACAGGTGCCCACCGCAAAGGCAGATATATTTGCTGTAAAATTTCATATTATTTCACTTTAGTTGCATGAGTTATTCACAAAAGAGGGTGATAAGTAGATAATTCAATAAAATGACGTCAATAAAGAGTATCGATGCACTTAAGTGGGCTTATCGGCCATTGTTTTACGCGAATCTTCATCAATTGCGTGTTTATTAATTAATGTTTATTTTGAAATACTTTGCCATAGCAACACAATTTAAGAAAATCTTTAGAAAGAATATTTCGCTTGGAAAATCGAGAATTACAAATTCTTATTATTTTTCATATGTATGTAAACAATTATAATTATTGTTTTTTCTGCCATCCAGCACATTCTTAGTAGGAATCCTTTATCTTTTTATTGATTTCATTTTTAATTTATTTATGTTTTACTCACCAGCAACAGCGGCGATGAATATCCGTAAAGTCTTCACTGGCTCCATTCTGGTATTACGTGCAAATCCGTCGCTTATCTGAAAAGGACTTACTTCACTGTACTTGACTTGATTGTGTTGTTCTTGTGAACTCATTAGTAGTTGCAGAGTGTTATGTATAAAGGCACAACGGCGTTTACTAGCAAAGCGCTAGTAGCTGAAATGAATGAAAGATACGTTTGATGATGCATTGCTTAAATGGATTAAATGATCATATGCTACAGACAAACATACATACATACTTATTAATATGTATATACAGGTATAGCTAAGTGTTAATGGCTTGCTAATAACGTAATGTGATATAAGTAATTAGCGCCAGGGTTGTACAGTCATTACAGAGTTTTTGTTACAATTTTAATTCAATAAAATACAATAAAGAACATGTTTTTATATTGTTAAAATAATAATGTTAATCAAAGTGAAATCAGAATAAAGTCCAAAATTTAAATTAATAATCAATTAAACTAATTGAATTAACTAAAATGTGACTATGAAAATTATCTGCTTTTTTCAATAACCAAATTACGTAACACATTAAATATCTAACCCTCAGTTTATGCTACTAATTTTGAATTTATGCACAAAATTTTATAAACTGCACTTTTGACCCTACAGTTAGCTGACCTGATTCGTCTCGATTTGGACGGGACATACCGGATTCCGAGTTAAGCGTCCCGGCCGTCCCGGGAAATTGAATAAAATTGTGTTGCTCTCTCGCCTATTATATGTCGCGATTTTCAGTAAATTATAGTATGGAAAAAATCGGGTTTTTGCCGATACAAATATGGTCCCCTAACCCTAGAGACTTACGGTAAATAACTATTGACAACTTAAATCCTAAAAGCACATGATAATTTAATGCAAACTGTATTAACACTAAAAAAAATAGGATTAAAATGTTAATTGAAAATCATTTGGGCTTCTTTTCTAACTAGACAAGTGCTTTGCTCTTCTTATCTAACACGTTTCACAGTGTACACCAACTTTTCGATCACTATTTGAAAAGGTTAACTGTCTCATTAAATGGGTAATTGAGAACAATTATGGACTAAATTACTTCAATACATTTAATTAGTGATTAAGGATTGATAGGCGTTGCTATACACTGATTTAAATGTGTTTTTATGTATTTTAAATTCTATGCTTCACCTAGCCGACTTCTTAATTTTGTTTACAAAATCTGTCTGTTTGACTTGTTGTTCCTCAGAGAGATTTATAATGCTGAGGTTCCGTTTATAACACTTTCGAGCAGCTAAAAGTAAGCGATAATATATGTACATATGTATATACACAGATTAGAAGTGTCCAGCGCACAAAAATAAAAAAGGAAACAATTTCTGGTTTCAGGCAGATGCCAAGAAGTTGAAGTACGTTTGGCTACTTCAAAACAAAAACAGTAGCAACATTTTGTGTCGCCTTGTATTTTTGATTATATCTTGCGCCGGTTAATTTCATTATAAAATTTCCATGGAATTTTATAAGATTTTTATTTACTTATTTGTAGTAAATCAACTGAAAGATTTCCACACTACTAATTTCATTGATAAAGTCCATCGACGTCGCAAATGACGACAATGACCATATCCTCGAATGATTACGTTCTAGCATTAGCATTTGATAGGCGACGACTAAGGTATGTTTACTCGATTAAGAAATAAGAAAGAAGCAAAGACATATAAAAAGCGCTATAAAATTTAAATTCTGTGTGTGAAACGTCACAGCTGCAACGATTGCAGACTGATAGGCAATGTAGGCTTGCTATCAAAATGATGTACATATGTTTGCAAATTGTTGGAATCGTTGGAAAACCGGTAGTCCATTAGGCAGTTGGTGTGCTGTCTGCGTAACACTTGACACTTACACATAAACTAGATAAGACGATAAGACACACACATAATCGCCTTAAACCCCTGTCTGCTAATTAGTGACTGGCTCAATTATTATCGCGAATTAAATACTTACTTTGCCCATCTATTTTATGCCGCGCGAGCAGACAAAACAAATAGCACAATGCTTAGAATTTGCTATTCTCGAGTAGCTAGTGACTATTTTTGGAAAGTATCTTAAAGACAATATAATTTGCGAGATTAGGTAAGCACATAGTAAGTGGTAATGCAATGTCGCGGCATTAAGTGCTTGGAGTTTATCTGAGTATACTTAAAATTAAGTGTTGTGTACTAATGGCTTAAGTCGAATTAGTTGAATCTGTCGTCCAAGTTACGCGCAGCCTTGCTTCGCAGTGTCAATAACTGTTTTATTGTTGTGTGAATTTTTGAACACGTTTTGTGTCTGCCATCGATTTACAAACATACATATTAGTTGTGTGTATGAATGTGTGTATAAACCCGGTTAATCGAACTGGACAAACTCATTGGCACTAAACATCGATATGAAAAAAATCCAAGGCGATAATTTTCAAGTGCAAACATACTCATACAAACATGCACGTACACTCATACAAACCCTCATATCAACACACCATGTGTGTGTCTCACCGGCAGTGGCGTACTTACTGCGTAATCGCTACTGATTTCCTGACTAACTACCTGCATATAGTTGTTGTTATTATCGATGCTGACTAATTTAATGATTGACGTGTTCGATCGACCAAAAATCGAAATTATTTTACATTGTTTTTGTTTATGTTTATTCACTACCTTGCGAGCATGACACTGCCAGTTATGCGCTGCACATCACCTAACTACATACATATGTACAATTCATACTGCTATAATGACCATTAGTGAAAACCGGTGAAGTACTGAATGGAAATTTTTTAACGCTAGCGCAGGGTCAGGCATGCGCAAAATCACCAAATTTGCTATGATTTTATAGACGGATGTATCTATGTAGGTATTAGTGACTGGCTTGTTTGTGAGCCCACTTGTGCGTCCACCGCATTATTAATGAGACAGAGAGGTAATCAAATGATTGGTTGTACGCTTTTTGACGATAAACTAAACAAGCTTTTTTAAGATAATAAGTAACGCGTCACTATGTTTGATATACATATTTACACATTGACGACTTTTGCATTTTTAATAAGATCAATTGGCCTTAATTTGATGGTTTTGAAATCGTTGCTACTTAAGTAAAACGTACTTAAAAGTTAAGCAATTTCAAAAAATTTTCCGTTGAAAGATTTAAAAAACTAACTATATATATATTATATAATTTAATTTTCTTTTCGATTTTAAATAAGTAAACTCTTAATTTTAATTGTTTTAAGAAATTTTTGAAAATATGAAATGGACTTCATTTCACTGGTTTGTTAAACGAGATTCAAAGTCAAATCTTTTAAGTTAAGAATACTACAAGTACAACATAAACTACAGTTGTTTGGCTTTATCTTGTCTCAAAATAGCACGCGTGTAGCTGGACCATTTAATTTATTTATTCGACTTTTTACTTCATTCACTTTTGCCTTTACTTAATTTTTTTCTTGGCTTCCGGTTTTGAGCACCTAACTACCGCAATTTAAAGCCGTTATATTGGCTACCTAAATAGCTGCCTGTGGCCATTTAATTTGGCACGCTATGCAAGCAGAATGGGGTATTGTATACCGTTATATCACATGTAGTTGAGTGTATATGCAAGTAGTTGCAGTATAGCTAGTAGGCGTGTGGAGCGAATGTTTGAGCATTTAAAGCAAGCAATTAATTTCAGCGCTTAAACTTGGATATTTCACACAAAATTGAGATGAAATCAAGCAAATGCATGCTTGAAGATAAGCAGCAATTAAAGCGCGCACCAGATGCAACAAAGATAGTCGTCAAATAAACAAAACACCCCCGACTTTTGTCGCAATTTCAATTAAAGAAAAAGTATTTTTAGTAATTTAAAACGATAATGAAGCGCTGCACAAATTATTTCAATGAAAATGTGTATTTATGTATTAGATACTCAAATATTAAAAAATTAAATTCTCACTTTTTATATATCCGTGGTGTTCACTGATATCCTTTTTTTATTTAAAAAACGTTTGCGACAATTCGTCTGTGAAGGTCCTTGAAGTTAATAATATTCGTGATATACTTTTACTGTTTTTCGACTAGTTTGTACTTATGGACTTTTACTCCCACAGGACCACCCTTGTGTGGCCGCTATTCGAAACGTAATGATAGACTCGCTCCAAATCAGACACAATTTAAAGCTTTTTCGACACATCCCGCTATCAATAAAATGTGCTATACATTGTAGACTCTTTGCAGTGCGTCGATGCAGATTAAAACGACACGATCATTAACGATCGCATTGCACGATTTCGCTGCTACACTATATGCCACCTATTATCATAAGTACTAATTGTTGGTGCTTATCAGCACTAGCTGCGACCGCGACGTTGACTGCGCTGTCGCTACAATCAAACCAACCGACATACATAAATGGCATCCAATCAGCGATCGCTTGGCATATTCGTCAAGTTCAATTGGACCGAAGAAGCGATAAGCGTGTGATAAGTGCACGCATGTACATATATTTGTACGTAGGAATTGTATGGTGAACTTGTTCTTCTGATAATAAATATGTGCCTGATTATGCGAAGTAGGTGAGAACACTCATAATAGTATATTATACAATCACGTAGGTAGTGAAATGTGGTGTTGGGAAGTTGCAAACGTTTCAAGCTTTTGACAGTTACTGGCGAAACTTTTCAGTGCGACCAAATACGAAATTGAGAGCTTTGCTTGTACGCGTAAACCGGTTATGTGAAATTCGGTCGAAGTAAAACTGGTTGCTGCCAAAATTTCCATTGGACGATATGTTGATGGATGAGATGAGTTAATGGCTCAATAGTCATACAACTTTCGTTGTATTTTCGTTACTACCAACCGGCGATGGCTTAACCTCACGGTGCCCGAAAGCACCAAATAATGCGAGCTATTTGCAGGCCTAAAGGACATGATGTCGTGTTTGAATTCTAAGTTTTCCCTAGCTATTTTGCTTGACATCGAAATATCCTGACACCGTTGAAGGGATAAATACACATTTCTCAACAACTTGCTTATCGATACACGCAAGCCCTTAATTTCAGAAATTATCATTCCACATAGGTCATCCTGCTACAGTATACATATGTATGTTTGTAGTTGTAGTATCCACATTTTTTTATTAATTGAACCTGCTCGTTTAAAGCCTAACAACAAGTAATAAAATCTGAAATCAAATAAAAAATAAACAAGCTCAAGGCTGTGGTTGAACCTTTTTGCTAATATGTTGCTCATTTGAAAGCTGGTAGATCCCTTCTATTCAAGGGGGTTCGATTACAAGATTGTAGCAAGGCATTGACTAATGGATTTCGATGTTCCTTTTGTTCCTCATGCCTCATCCCAGTTCTCATTTCTTCTTACTTTGACTCGTAGTTTTCATATAAACAGTTTGAATACCGATATTTCAAAATTTCGCTCCAACACTAATGGAATCCGTCCTCCAGAATTTGACATTCATACCTTATGGTTACTCACTCTTAATCAGGAGCCCGTACACTCATTATAACTCAAGTACGTTGCGTGATATGCAGCAGCAGGTGATAATAAATAAAATGTTTTTTTCCACCCATTATTCAGAAAATTTTCAAAAAATTCCAATATTTATGCCCCGCTAATTTCATTTTGAGTATCATTTCAATGAAAATTAGATTTGGCGTCATGTTGCGAGGGTGGAATTGTAAACAATTCGTTGATTGAAAGGTTGAAGTATCGTCAAAACTATTTACAAAGCACTCACCTCCAACGGCACCAATACTATAATGACAATAACAACAATTACAATAAATATATGCAAACGGACTGCATATCTTGAGTGATGCATTCAGCAATTACACAATATTATTTTTATTCAAATATGTAGGAATGTGTAATTGGTTGGAGGTATGTGTAAGGTACATATGTACACATGTATGTATGAGAAAAAATTCTAACGCTTACAGTGATAGAACACGTTTGCTTTGTAGGAAGAATGCATTGTCAATCACATGTGTTATTTATCAACGCCCTTCCCGCTACTGCATAGCGCGGAAGTAAATATTTTTTAAAAATTTTGGATTATTTGTATTTAATACATATTTATTGATTATTGCTTTTGGCAGCCAAAAATAAATATATTTTCGCAAGGGTGGCAAAGCGAAGTGTTTATGTTGCGTTACATTGCACATACGTTTTTGCAAGAAATTCCTTCGTAAGGCATGAACTCACCATTTCTGCATATTTGAGTACGTTTCCGTTGAGGTAATATTTTAAGTGCTAAGGCGCCCATTCAAGTGCTTTCGCAATAGTCGCCATCAGGTGAGAGATAATTAAATGCGTAGTTCATGCAACTGACTCAAAAACTCATGCGAAATAAAGTAGCTTTGAAAGAGTAAAATAAACAAAATATTTATTTGCTAGTTAATATAGTCTAAACGGTTGTGGCCTGATTCATAAATCCCAGTAGTTTATTAATTTCTTTTGTTTGAAATCGGCTTTGATTGGGAACATCAAATCTTTTTCAACTTGGTCTTTCAATGCCTTCTGATTCAATGAACTGTCTTGAGACGTTATATGGTTTAAACAACTCAATCTTTCTCTTTATTTGATATTTTGATCATACATGTTTCTTCGCCACTTACTAGAAGAACGTGTTGGGACGCTTGTAAAATGCTCGTTTCTTCGTTAAGACAGGAGTGTACTCTTCAATTGTCTGCTCAACCAAAAGCGAATGTTTGATGGTCTATTCAAGGTAAAATATATTAAATTCCGGCTTTGTAGGTGGTATGATTATCTTAAATGGTTTAAGCATTTCTCCTATTCAGTAACACACGACGAAGGGTACAAGTATTTGTTTTGAATACTTTAGAGAGTAGGAAAGGATAAATCATTACTTGAAATGTACTTCCTTTTTATAAGAAGTTAATCTATAATACGTACTTGTAGATATATGGTATTATTTGAGTAACATGAGCATCCTGATCTTGATCACAGTTTTCCGGATACGAAAACCAAAAAGGATTAATGGTCTGTATGTGTTTGAGTAAAAGCAGCGTCTTTTTGGAGAGACTAAAGAGAACAAAAGCCATAGATATGGAATATCTGCGGTTGTCATTCAAAATTTATAGGCCTAAGCTAACTTAGGTTAATGCGTTTCGTGCTGGTAAATACAATTTTTATATGCACGTAAGCCCCTCAAAAATTGATAAAAAGATAATCAAAAAAGTATAGAATATTATCTGTAGCCGCAAAAGTGTAAGCTTTCGTCATACCTCTTTGACACTTCCAATGCCTAATATACCGAATGCTGGTTAAGTATGGTTGTCCTATATAAATATTATATAAGATAAAACGAATATCATTTTGAATTCAAATGTCAAAAGTTATATGATGTTTCAAGCGCCAAGCTTTTATGATTTCCTTCTCGTAAAAATATATTAAGTTAGAAATTTCACAACACACTCTATTATTGTTCCAATGTGTTATTTAAAAGTAAAAAAAAAGTGAATAAAAGCTGTTTAATTGTTCAAGGTAATTTATAAAGCCACTGTCATATAAATTGCGCATTGGAATATTTTCAAAATCCATAGCTTATAACCTTTCTACATTTAATTAAATACAATTCCAGATTTTCGTTTGGACTAAAATAAAATTTGCACATTTTTTAACTTTTGATTTTTTATACAACTGTCTTTGGCTCTAGAATGTAGCAACAGAAATAGAACCAAGTGTTTTATTTGCAGTATCTCACTTACATATGTATGTAAATTCATATATTTCAGACATAAACAAGTTTCTAATGAAATTTATGAGTCATTTACGATATTCCGACAATTAAGCAGCTTTTTAAAGAGAAAAGGATGTGTGCGCAATTCCAGATCGATATCTCGAAAACTGAGGGATAACAATGCACATACGTAAAGACAGACGGTAATGGCTAAATCGACTCAGGTCGTCAGGCTGATCATTTACGAGGTGTGTTCGAAGGTAAAGGTGAATTTTGATTTTTTGCGGGCTGTGTAAATTCGATTATCGATTTTCTGTTTTTGTTATAATCGAACACATAAATTTATCATATGCTTGCATTAGGGGCCAATTTCGATTTGTTTGTTTGTTTTTGACAACAGAGAAGGCTAGTCACATTTTTGTGTGCTCTTAGATTTTTGACTTTTAAAAGATATGGATCAAAGAATGTGTTGTAAAGTGCTCCAAGGCACTTGAAATGTGGACTGTGGCATTAGGTGAGTCCACTTTGTCTCAAAAAAGTGTTTGTAAGTGGTACAAGCGTTTTACAGAAGGCTGAGAAGATGTTGATGACGATGAGCAAAAGCAATGTCGCATTGGTGTCGTAATCATGCTTCAACCACCGAGTTCACCAGATTTGGCTCCCTGCGACATTTTCTTATTACCAAAACTGAAGAAACCAATGAAAGAAAAGCGTTTTATCACAATTCATCAGATCAAGTCAAGATCGAAAAAAGAGCTGATGGCCCACCAAAAAGCGGATTTCAGAAGTGATTCGAGGATTGAAAAAAGCGTTGACACAAGTGTATAATATCCGAAGGGGATTACTTTGAAAAGGACAAAATAGATATTTATGAATAAATAAGTACTTAAAAATTCACTCTTTCCTTTAAACACACCTTGTATATACAGATTTCCAGTGTAGGTAGCAACCATTTATCAAAAATGAAGAGGGAGTTGAGCTTATTAAAAAAAAAAACTGATAAAAGTGTGAACAAAATGGATGGGAAGTTGTATATCGTTTGCAAAATTCAACACGCGATTTTTAACCAGGAATCTCAAGTGAGTGCGAAAATTCCAAAAATTCGCGATACTTAGGCTGCTACTGTTGGTCGGTAAGTCCATTATAGAATCTTCATCTTCTTATCTTATGATGATCTTTAGTTATTGTGCATGAGCCAAAGAAGGTTTCTTAGTTGGTACAACCAATTTTCAACAGATGAACAAAATTAATAAAATGACTCAAAATGAACTTAATATTTGTGTAATGTCTTTCCTTCAAATTTATTTTAGTAGGTAGCATAGCAATGCGCGCAGGGTATAAACCAATAAATAAAATATTTATAAAAAAATCATTTGGATATTAGTTTTATTTTTATATAAGCTAAAAATTTTTTGAAGTTTAAATTAAAAATTTACTCAAAGATAAAACCAAATAGTTAAAAAAATATTTTTTAAATCACCGGCTTTTTGTACTTGTACTAATTCATAGCACATTCTGCGTTAATTCACAACAAAATTCATTTGTATCATCATTATTATTATTACCCAACGGTGAAAACAAGTTTAAGTAATATTATTTACGAAGAAATAAAGGCAAGAAAATAAAGCTAAAATGAAATTCGACTTCCAATACATACAAATAACTACAAAGAATGACACAACACATATCGCATACTAAATACAAAAGAGTCACAACTCGAAAAATGACAAATGCTCAGAAGGCAGAAGATGCAGTTAACCTAAAAGTAGACCGATAACGGAGATTTAGTTAAGTAAGATAGTGATGGCAATGCAATTTCTTGGATAGGTAGATAAGTGTATTAACGTACAAATGATATATATATATATATATATATTGTACGAATTGATATACTGAAAAAATATTATTTGATTTTGAAAATATTTGAGTTGTGACGCTTTTGTATTTAGTGTGCGATATGTATTGTGATTCTTTTGTTTTTAGTGTGTGATATGTACAAATATAAAAACACACATAAAAACAAGTGTTTTTTATTGCTGTTTTATTTTATCTGCCAAATTACTACTTACCCGTTGTGCTTTTATACAAGTACATTCCACTCGGATACACTCTGCCCCACTTTGCTTCACTTTACTACGAGTATACTCACCACTCAACTACGCGCCTAGCACAACAATTTTCCACACAAAATAAAGCACCACTTTTTACAATAACACAATAAAATTAATTTGTTACAAAAGAGGAGCAAAAAAACCGATTGAACAAAATAAATATTTAAATTGCACTTATGTCAACTAATGAGGATCTGCAAGTTTTTTAGTTGCCGTAATAGTTTAACAATTCACAAGTGGCAACAACAACTAAAATCCAAGGGAAAAGAAAAAAAAAAGAAAAATCTGACAATTCACTGAATTATTGAACCACTGACTCAAAGATACACTGCCGTTGTGACCGTTTGACGCAATCTGAATCGCTTTACGTTGCGTTTATCAGTATTTGTACTATTTTCGAAAATTTCTACGCTGCGTCGCCGCACGCACACTAGCATAAACAAGCGTATAGAAAGCAAGCGTTTTCACGACATTAAACTCTAGTCTTCGTTGACGCGTTTCTTTTCCTTTATCTTCCTTTATCAAAGCACCGCAAGTAGTGCTTATGTACTGCAGTGATAAAGCGGGTACTGACGAAAGCTCTTGTTGCAGCGAGTGTTCGAATTGCCGTATTTAAGATTAAACTAAACGAAAGTTGGGGCGTTCGCACAAATAAGCCCGGCTGCTGTTTAAATTTCTATCCCACGGGGCTGCGGTTGTTGAGCTTAGTGTGGAGTTCAGTCGTGTTCGAGCAAGCTTTGTGGGCTTGCTTTTGTTGTATTCCGCGATTACATTGTACCCTGATTTTACTACGCTCGTAGTTGGCTACGCTTGAGTAGTGTGAGTTGCGCTGTGAGTGTGTACATTATTTTGTATATAGCGCGCGATTGAGTTGGCTCATTTCAGCTGCCATTTGGCGCACAATAATTATTTTAGCTGTTGCTTTTAAAACTCGCTTACTTTATTTTTTTTATTACTGTTTTTCTTTTCATCCTACCAAAAAAACAAAGCGCTCAAAGCTTTAACTATTATTGTATTTGGGTGCTTACCCATAGAGTGAGAAGTGTAGAGTGCAAAAGTACCGACAGACATGTGGCTATGCATAGAAATAAATTGAGGTGCGCACTGCCCCTGAGACCATACATACAAAAGTACAAATCTGAGTAGGGCAACCGAAAATTCGTGCAGCGTGCTCATAAGCAATTATACGCAACAAACCTTTCAATTTGTCTACAGGTGATTGTACATGAAAGGGTTTAAATGTGTGTATGTATGTGCGTGTGCTTGTAACGGTAATTATTAGCGCTAAGTTCGGTTGGCAAACGAATGCGCTTTTGTTTTGATGCTGACTTAGTGAATTACGTGAGTTACGACGAATGCATTGCACTGAGATGACGTATGCACCGTGACACCAGATAAGCTGCATCAAACATTAACTTTGTTTTGATTCCTTCACACGATCAAGCTTAGTCAGTTGGACTTTGCGTTCTTCCTTGCCTTCGTTATATATTTTATCAATTCACTTTGCAATTAAAATTACTTTGGCTTCCACTTATTGTAAGACGAATGTATGAGTTAAATGTTTTAGTAATAGAATATTAAAAGAGATTATGTTAATTAGGTGGGAATAAGTAAGTAAGGGTAGGCGGTTATTGCACTTTCAGTAGCATGAATACTCACTTAGTTATAGATATTTACAATATTATGGGCGTGGCAATGTTCAAATTTTCCACGTTTATATCGACTAGTTTTAGTTGTTGTAAATACGGCTATGCCATGAAATAATTAAATTAATCGATTTTAAACAAAAGGATAAAAAACAAATGGCGAACTCTTGTATATATGTGAATCTACCACTTATTCGCTACTTGAAAGTAAAAGATAAATTTCAGTGGCATTTTCCATAGTATAATACTTATCTCTGAATGTTTCATTCAGTCTTTTTAGTTTTGTAACCAAAAACACGACGAAGACACGTGCCTTCGGTATGTATTTTGAACGGTTAAGAGAGCAGGAAATGATAAATTAATGTTTTAAATGTACTTTCGCCATTCCCCTATTTATAAGAATGTAATCTATAATATGTACTTGCAGACACTTAGATTTAAGTGGGTCAGATGAGCACCCTGATCTTGATTAAAATTTCCCGGGTACGAAAAATAAAAATATTGAGCCCGTCCATATTTGGGAAGGTTTTTGTCTAAAATCTC